CGCCACCTACCACATCTCTACCTACCTCCCACCTAACTCCCACCTACCACTCTCTTGCTTCTATAAATAGAGAGGGTGTGAGGCTTAGGAGAGCAAGGGAAGAGATCTTAAGAAGGAGGAGAGAATAGCTAGAGAGCTAGAGAGGAGGAGAGCATCTTGAGGCCCTGTATCAAGGTGTCGCTTGAGAGGGAGGTCGTAGAAGGAAGATGAGGGCTCATCTCTATGTATAAGCTATGTATTCTCCATTTCTTTTGCCTTAGTGAAATATTTGATTGATTCCCTCCCGTGGACGTAGATCCAGTTGGATCGAACCACGTAAACGATCTGTGTTTGCTTGTGTTCTTTTTCGTCTCATTTCTATGCAAGAAAGTACATATCTCACAACAATTATTATTTCATTCTAACATTTTCCAATTTCCCATAAATCTCAACTCCATTCTTCCCACTTTTCTTAAACCAACCATAGCTTATATATTTGATCATTAAAACACACAATAATGCAAATTCCATTTTAAAGATATCCACATTTCATGCTATACCAGAATTCAACCACCACAAACCCATAAGCTCAAAAATTGAACGAAAATTTTCATGAACTATTTTGAAGCAAAGTCTCTATCCATGATTCATAAACTGCAAAACAAACTCCATAGCAGCAAAAACAGAAAAAAATATAACCTCCTCACTTCTCATCAATGATGGCCAGTCATCTGCTTCATGAGCTTTCTTAACGCACCATGCTTAGCAGACCACAGTTCTGCCAGCTTCTGTTCCTTCGCTTCAGCATCCCTTCTCACAACAAGCAGCTGCTCCCTGCACTCAGCTTCAATCCTCTCCAATGCCAGTTCCTGCTCCTCCCTCAGTTCCCTCAACTTCATCTCAATCTCCTCAATCTTCTCCTTCCTCTTACTCGCCTTCTCCGACTCCAGCTGCAGCTCAACTCTCTTCAGCCGCCACGCCGCCTCCTTCCTATGCGCCACCCACGCCTGATACCCTTCCTCCACTTCCCTGCAACACTCAACCAGCTCCGCAAACACATTACATCGAGAATCCATCACATTCTGCTGTGAATTCGCCCATGGGGTTGGCGGTGTCGGCGGGGAGAGCGAAAGCGCGACAGACGGCGAACTCGTGTTATTTGAGCTCGAAAGCCATGGTGGAAGCAACGGCGACGCCATGAGCAACGGAGCGACCGGTTGTTGCTTCACGAGCTTCTCCGCAAAGCTCTCGAGGATTCGATCGTATTTCCCGGGCTCAATTGGGATCGACGAAATCCTATTGCTTTCCTTCAGCCCCCGCTGCTGCTTCTCCTTGAAGACCTCCCACCACTTGCCTAACCGCTTGGCGGTACGACCAGGCACCTCTGCCGCAATCTTCTTCCACTTGTTGCCGTGCTTGGATTGAAGATGGATCACCAGCTGCTGTTCTTCCTCAGTGAGAGAGCCCTTCTTGATGCCTGGCTTGAGGTAATTTTTCCAACGCTCAAGGCATGACTTAGCGTCCCTTTCAAGGCGAACGTTCATGCGCTGGGAGACGAGATTCCACTCCCTCGGCCCATATTGCTTCACGTATGTTCGCAGAATGGCATCTTCTTCAGTTCTCCAGCGTTGGCGTTCCTTCATTTGGAGAAGCTGGGAGCCATGGTGCTGAATTCTTCATAACTCAAATGAAAGAGTTTTGGGATAGAACTTGGATAACATTTGATATGGAGTAAAACCAACTGAGGATGACAAGATTGTGTAATTCAAATGATAATGTGAAAATATTAGTTTGGAAATCAAATGGGAAAGCAAAAAAATAACATTTTGACAAGCAATATTTGCTAAGCAGGAATATTTTCCGTTCAGTGATCTATTTTAGCCATAAATTTAATCCAAGAACATGATTTCTGATGATAAAGTAAAAGGAAGATTTACATATCGAACACCTAAACTTTACTTTTTACTACGTATCACCTTACTATGCATGTAAAGGTGTACTTCATTTCTTAAAAGTTCAAATGGTGGTGTTTTTTATGTGATATGAAAGTTCTGGGAGGAATAAATGTAAAGAAAAACTTGGTGTGAGATATGTAAATACATACGAATTGAGTGGTATGTATGTAAATGCCTCAAAAGTAAAAAATAACAGAAACAAACCTATAAATAAATCAATTGAAGTAACGACAATGATGTTCTCTTAAGCTGGAACTGTGAAAACTGTTGCACTGCAAATAAGAATTTTGTGAAATGCCATAGCTTTCATTTACTGAACATACAACGACTGGCAATGTGGAAACAGAAGACTTGGAGCAGAAAAATATATCAATATCTCCACAGAATATGCTTTTCCATCTTTAGAATATCACACTAAAGAAAAAGACTAAAATACCTTTAATTTTTTTTACATGGGCGTTAAAGGCCAACCCAAAATCAAACTTATTTCAGTGGTTTCTTTAGCTTCCACATCTTAGTGAATGAAGTAGGGTAAGTTAAATATTGGGAAATTTACAAATGTAACACACAATTCATATGGATTTACATATCTAACTCCTAAAGTTTGATATTTAGGTTTATAACACCTTGGTGCTATAAAACTATTGCAATTGACTTTTAAAAGGTTAGTAAAAGTGGTATTTTGGATGTGATGTTAAGGATTTGAGTGTTATGAATATAACTATAAAAGTTTAGGTGTTAGATATGCAAATATATAAGAATTGTGCCCCTAAAACATTCTGTGCTATAATTTTTAATATAAATTTAAAATTAAAACAGCCATTAACTGAACCATCTCCAACTGCATAATATTATTAATCCTGTTCCATTGACAAAGCTTCCTTAATTAGTGGTTGGAAATTGAAAAAGATTACTAATCCACACCTTAAGATTGAAATCCCCAATAATCCTAACAAAAATAAAAGAAATAAAATCGCCAAAATAATGCCAAAGCAGCATCCCAGTGAAAAAAGATGCATTCACTTGTATCATTCATAATACATGACAATATATTTTCACATCCATTTGTTTGAACAAGAGCTTATTTCATGTCTTGTTTGGGACAAAAATGGCTGCAACAACAATAAATTGGCATAGATTGGCAAAAATTAAAATCAATAAAGCTAAAAGCATCCTACAGTTTCACTATCACAGATAAAATTCATAATTAAACAAAAAAAAGGGCCCTTTAAATCATGCCGAGCCTCATCAAATTCCTTCCAGACAAAAAAAAAAGAAGAAACATGATCTTTATGCCAAAAACATCTACTTTTTAATCAATAACCCCAACAAAACAAAAAAATAAGCCATAGAAGTTTATAAATTAAAGTTTACCAAAACCTATTGCAAATTTGTTCACATTATAATTCAAACTTCTATACTTCAGAAATGAGATTTACAAGCAAAACAGGGATAAAAGAGTCACAAATCAAAAAAGAAAAAGAAAGAAAAAACAGAATAACAAATTAAAGCAAAAGCACACAAGAAAAATAAAACAAATAGCTCCTTTTAAGACTTCCAGAAGCACAATAAAGCAGCAATGATTCCACAAAGAAAAACATCAATTCCTCGCTCACTTAAAACAGTAGATTGGGATTAGAGGTCTCTAATCTAACAACAGAGAAAGCACACCTATTCTCCAAAATGTACACACCAAAGCCCCAAAAACTACCCATAGATCCCATTTACAGAGAAACGGAGCGCCATATTTCATCACATTCATAACACTACAAAACCCTTACCAACTAAGTCCATACTAATAATTTCAACAAAAGATGCTCTCATAATCTAAAAAAGGAGAAATAGAGAGATCTTACCAAGTGACCCAACTCTTCCCAGCTACCGTCGTCCTCCCCTTTCCTCCCTCCAGAACCAAAGTAGAGCAGCTCGTTACAGAATGGAAGAAGAACAAGAGGTGAAGCAAGGCACTGGTGACCCTTAGCCCTACATATATAGGCCCATAGGGCAAAGATTGAAAGTGAAATCCGAAAGCTCCGTAAAAACAGAGCACGCGAAGAAGGAAAGTTAGAAAAAATAAAAATAAAAAGGCATACTCGACTACCGAGCACTGAACCATCACCCGAGGAGACAACAAAACCCTGGAAGAGAGAGAAAAAGAAGGAGAGATAATGATAGAGAGAGAATGGGGTGGGGAAAAAAAGGAAATGGAAAAAAAGGACCCACCCCCCACCGTCGGTAAAAACGTCACCACAGAATGTGAAGACGTCACTGAAATCGCGCGACGACACGGGGGAGACGCATCGGCGATCAAGCGCGAGGAGGAGAGAGAGAGTTAAAAATGGTGAAAAGTGAAGACGGAAAGGGTGTTTAAAAAAAGACGGGACCGTTACGTCCTATCGCGGGGCCCAATTGATTTACAGTTGATTAATAAATAAATAAATATTTATTTGTATATATATATATATTTGTTTTTTAACATTCAGAGCCCATAAAATTTATTAAATTACATATTCATAGTCGATGAACAAATAAAAATGCGGCTTGAAAGTTTTGATTTAAAACTGACTGTCAAGGGATATAAGTTTCTTGAAGTAGGTTTTTTTGGGACATTTACAAGCACATTTTTTTTTATAAAATCACATATATAGTTCTATATTTTGATTTTTATATTATAACACTTAAATCTTTCATATAATAACTGATGCGCGCTGGAAAATTCACAGCGATAGAATAATAGATTATATTCTGAGTTGCACGAAGATTCAACACACACTCAGATATAAGAAAAACAACCATGACAACAGAAGTTTTTACGTGAAAAACCCGTAAATAGAAAAAAACTACGGGGTCTGACTCAGTTATGAAAATCCATTATAGATTGATGATTATAAATGCTTCTTGTCCCATAGACGGGAAATGTTACTAGATTTTCATATTACAACGTCACCCAATGGTGTTCGGTTAGCGATGGTCAGCGGTGGTCGACGCCAATAGATAACGGTCGGCGATGGTCGAAGAAGATCAGCGGTGATCGACGGTGGTCGACGGCGGCCGACAAAGGTCGACGGAGGTTGGAGGTGGTCGACAACTATCTACGATGATAGAGATGATGTTGGACTTGAGCTCCTTCTCAATGCCTCAAGTTCTCTCTCCAGCCTCCCTCTCAATGTGAGATGTGAGGGGTGCAGCCTCCCTCTCAATGTGAGGGGTGAGGCTCTATTTATAGTGTTTTGGATGCAATTAATGTAGAAAATATGATCTATTTTGATCGGATGGTTTGGAGAGCTTCTCTCGATCATATGTCGTTGGATGGACATTTGTGTGCCTTAACGAAGTCAGAATTGAACAATTTTAGGATCATTGGATTCGTCTTATCGAGACACTCGATTCGACTATGAAATCGCTAGATTCGACATCTGTTTGACCTTCCAAATGCCTCTGGAAATCCTCCAAGAGTGGTGTAATAATTTAATCCGGGCTTGGTCTCACTCGGATTGGACTAGTTTCTTAGATCATTGGGTTTGTTTCATCGAGCCCGTCAGTTTGACTATAAATTTGCTAAAATCGGAGCTTTGTATGACTTTTTATAGAAATTTGAATATTTGTTCTTCAAAATATCGTCTCGAGATCCGTATCATGCCTCAAGATTCGTGTCTGATGATGAAAACTTATTGATGGTGTATCAATATCAAAGATATTATTTTCATTAAAAAGCCGGTTTTTCATGGATAAATAAAATATTATAAATATAAATATTAAATTTTAGATTTTAGATTTGTGAATCCATAAGAAAGCTCAATAATAATATAAAAAAAAAAAACAGATGTGTAATTCAGGAGAAATTATTCATATTAAAATATTCATTTAAGTAGAATTTAATATATTTATTATATGTTTCTAATTAATAATTTTAATTGATTATAAATTTTTGTAAGTTTTTACTTAATTAAATTATTTTAAAATAATACTCATCAATTACATATATAATTAAATTATTTCGAGCTAAAATGAGTTTTGTGTTTCTTTTGTTCGTTAAGCAAATGAGCCAAATATAAATAAAGAGCTGTTTGTGAACAACGAGCTGTTTTGACAGTCCTACTTAAGACATACCATTAAGTTGAATGGACGAAGCTGACAAATTAAATTTAAAAGAAAATGTAATTCTTGAAGGTTGAGAGGAGGAAGTTTTAAGCTCTGACAAAGGGAAAAAAACTCTTGGTTCGAAAAATTTAGTCATAATCCTAAAAAATAGCCATAATTATGATAGCCTTATAACATGAATTTATCGCAACATGTATATTTGTTAAGACCTAATTTCCCTTCTGTAAGAGAGTTAAGTTTAGTTTTTGTAGGTATTGTTGAATTTAAGATTGAGAATGAATCTCACTCAAGAATAGTGTGAGGGTTGGGGGGAGAGATGAAGAGAGACAGTTGTCACCTCCCAAAAGAGCCCTTATGGGTGGCAGGCAGCTCAGGACTTAAATACTGCTTTTTGGCCCTACACTTAGCCGATGTGAGACTATTTGTCTGTGACATTCTTCTCTACCCAATCACGTGACGCCCTCGTCACGGATCGGCTCCACCGAGGGTCACACTGGACCATGGAGAGTCCACACACCTGGCAGACAGTAATCTGCTCTGATACCACTTGTCACCTCCCAAAAGAGCCCTTATGAGTGGTGGGCAGCCCAGGACTTAAATACTGCTTTTTGGCCCTACACCTAGCCGATGTGGGAATATTTGTCCGTGACACAGTGCTCTAGAGAGATAAATGATGAAGAATGAACCGTTTAAATATATCACTTCTTCATAAAATGTTTTCCATTTTTATAGAGGAAATAATGTAATAGTGATATTACATTTTTACCCTCATTTGAAAGATGATTGTACTAAGATATTTCTAGTATTTATAAGTATGAGTTTATCATATGACTGCCTTCTGGCTTGGTCAACTAAGCCTATTAGTTGACTCTAAGCAATTGGGTTAGCTTTGTCGAGTAAGATTGGTCTATAAGATTTGGGCTGCTGACCCAGCTTGGTTGACCATCTTTGATTTCTATTGAGGAGTCTTTGGGTCTCCTCGGTGTGGTTAGAGATACTTTGCGAAATTGGTTTTTTCATTGGGTTGTCTATACTACGGAATAAGTTGTTGCATTGAGTTAATTTTTATGCAGCATATGTCTCGATTGATTGCTTGCCTTGTGGTGGCAATCTTCAGCCCATCGACTGTGTCTCCACCGTCGTCATCGTACCGTCAGTTTTGTCAACTGTTGTCGTTGCCATGGAGTCGCCAATGTGTTTATCGCTATATTGTCTGCCTTCCTGAATGCTTCCAACTTATACTATGTTGACGAGTACAAGAAGGGAGAAACCGAGGGAAGGAAAATAATAACAAAAACAAATAAATTTCTAAAGAGCTTCCATAAAGATTTTGTTGTTGCCAAAGAATCCTTATGAAAAGCATCATACCAGAGATTTCAGGTTTATGTACCTGTTTTGGGTTCACTTATTCCTACAGAGACAAGGAAATATAATTAATTACATATTAAATAATCCACAATTATTTAAGAAAACTTTTTTATTAAGGTTTAGATTTGCTCTCAGAAAGTTCAAGAATGTTGTCAAGGAAATGAATGTTAGTCATATCTAAAGGGTAGTGGATTCCACACTATCCTAAAGTTTGTTTAGTTGAGATTCATCCTTTTGACCCAAGTCTTGAGTGGCTAGAATGATCGTCTTGCAAAATAGAATTAGCACACCCTATAACATGTAAAGTAAATCTATGATGACATCCACCTTGTCTTCAGCAACCCCGCAAAACAAAGTTAGTAGAGAAAGCATTTTATATGTTTATTTTTTTGTTGAGTTTTAAATTTTTAGATGACCCAGTCAAGATGTTCATGGCTTCATTGTCTCGGGGTCGTCAGATACATTGATCTACTTAGTCAGAAAGGTAGTTATACCAGGACTAGAAGATTCTTGTTAACAACCATACATTGCATCGTCCAAGAAATCTTCGTAGGCCAAAGCATGTTGGGTTTAAGTTGTGTTTGATGATCTTTATTCATTAAAGTTTCATTTAAGTTTTAATGTCTTTTTTCAAATTTTAGACGTTGAAATATTTAGGTTTTATAAGCCTTATGAGCCGATTAATTAATTTTTTTTGGCATTTCTTGTTTATTTTTGTTTGGGATGATCCGCTCAAGATCCCATGGTTCCGTCATCCCGGGTCATTAAGGTTAGCAGTTTGATTAGTTAGAAGTAATTGGAATATATTTTGTTAGAAACCATGGGCTACGTCCTCCAAAATATCTTCTCAAACCTAGTTATATTTTTTGGTTCAAGTTTAAGTTTTAATGTCTTTTAAGGTGGATTTTCAAGTCATTTAATACCTTAGCCCAAATTATTCTAGATTGAAGTAAATTATGCTTTATTTTGTCATATTGAGAAATACAACCATTTTTAACCTTCGTCACTTGGGTTATGATTGATTTTTAGAATAACTCAAGTTGAGTTGAAGTAATCTAAAGAAGGATTTTCAGGTAATCTGATTTTAACCTTGATTAGGTTAGTTGTCTTTCAGATTATCGTCAATCTTGCTTGAGCATACTAGGGTTGACCCAAACTAATTATGTTGACTGCAATTAAACTAATCAGTCAGCTTGGGGAGACTTTTGTTCAAATAACTTTAAATTTAAGTAGAAGTTCATTTAAACTTAAATCAATCCTAAGCTCAAAGTTCGCTTGAGTTTGAAGTTCATTTCCATTGTGGATAACTCAAGTTGAGTCTGGTTAACCTTGTAGTTCAATTGAAAGGAATCTAAAAATAGCTAGGGTCCTTAAGTCCAAGTTAAGTTGGATCTGGATCGGATATAGGTTGGGCTAGACCCAATGGAGTTTATGTTGTCGTTGAACTTAAGTTGGGTCTAAGTTAGTTAAAACCTAAATTTAAATTCAACTTGGACTAGAGTCCATGTGGATAAGACTTAGCGTTTTAGGCTCAGTGTCCGTTGAATCTAAAAATCAATTAAGTCTAATGTAAATGGGTTTTCATCTATACGCGTTATGAATATTTCGATTGGGTTAGGAATTAATTTTATTCTATCATTAAGAATTATCT